AAAGGATACAAACCTTCAACTGAAGTTGAATCCACCAGATGGAACCTTGAGGTCGTTTCCTCCAAACTGGAAATTTTGTTGGGTACCATCACCGGGAGGAAGTGTCTCTTCATCCTCCTCCAACCAGTAAGTCTCGAGAATCTTGACTGCCTTCTCATAGATCTCGTTATTGTCATGACTCTGTAGATTTTCAATCTTCTCTAATCCTTCAGCATCTTCTATCAACTGGGCACAATAGTTAAGCTCTGTGCCGCCAGCAGCCTTCTCAGCTTCACCGACCTTCAGAATATTCTCCAACCCTTCTAGACAGACTGTTATAATTCTTGGATCGGGCATGCTAAGAGATCACACAAAGGTCTTATGCATCCTTGACCGACCAGGTACCTGCATGTTCACATCAGGAGAATGATTTAGCAGTCGGTTCAATAAGAATGGAACCAAGGAATCAAAACCGGACAACAGATAAGTTGAACAAATAACATACTTGATTTGATCGTGAGTACCACCAGAGGTAGCATTTGAAATCGCCCATGCTGCTTCTTTCTTTATATCAAATTCAGCACTTTGAAGTAGGTTCACCAAGGGACCAATTATCCCGGCATTTATCACGGCCTAGAAAAATTTTAAATATAACAGTAAACATAGCATGAGGGATCCAGTATTAAATTCAGACAATTAAAAACATCCTTGAAGCAAATATTGCCATGATTACTCACCTGAATCTGTTCCTTGTTTCCAGCTGTAATGTTTGAGATAGTCCAGCAAGCTTCTTTTTTTATGCTCTTTTTATGGTTATGGGTCAACAGGCTCAAAAGGCATGTTAATGCACCATGGTCAATAATACACTGAAATGAATCATAAAATAAAAACCAATAGAAGCAGAAAATAAAACATTAAGAAAGAAACAGAATCTTAAACTGTACCTGAGTCTGTAAGTCATCTCCCGTCACAATATTTCCGACTGTACGGAGAGTGGGAATGAGCACTGAAGGAGACTGATTACTGCAAAAAAAAAAATGTATAAACCATTTGGTTCACAGAAAATAAAGAGAGCCCAATGATGTTTTTAGGCGTTCTACTCACAGTAGGAGCTCAACAAGTCGTGGGCAAACTCCTGCCTCGATCACAGCTTGAATTTTGTCATTTGTGCCATCATAGATACGATAGAGCCCAACAGGCATCAGTGAGAACTTCTTCATCATTTGAATGAATGAGACGCTCGAGTGCAGGAAGAGCGGGACTCACCTAGCCAACAGATATCCAATATTGAAAGCTCAATTAAAGACAGAACATAAAAATGGGTGCAAAATGACAATGCACGAAAAAGATGAAAACCTGATCAAATGGAGGCTGTGGCTTGCCCCTACAGAAATTTGATAATGTCCAGGTCACATTTCTCAGCATCGACAACTTCGAGTGTTCATTCAACTGCGCTAACAGCGGCCTCAAGGCCCCATGACTGAGAACAAGATCACGACATCTAGGGGAATCTCCAGCAACATTCCCCAATGCCCACACTGCCTAAATATTTACAAACACTCACTCAATAATAAGCTCTTAATCATCAGTACTAGTTAAAACAACACACTGCCTAAATATTTACAAACACTAACTCAATACAAAGCTCTTATTCATCAGTACTAGTTAAATATCAATATTCCCAAAATTGCAAGTCTCAAACCTACTTTAAAGGATATAACTTCGAAGTTACCTGCTCGCGAACATCATCACTTGGGAACCAAGAAGCTTTACGGATATAGGAACAGCCCCATGATCGATAACTACCTTAGTATTCTCAGATGTTCCAGAAGCAATATTTGTAAGTGCCCAAGCAGCCTCAAACTACATGTTTTCCAAATAGACCAATGGTTATTAGCAATCAAGAAGCATCATTTGTAAATGCCCAAGCAGCCACAAAATACAAGTTTCCCATTGTATCACCTATAATAGCATACCATTAAACCCCAAAAATGGTTATTAGCTATCAAGAATTTGTACCTGAAGCTGCGGGAAATCTTCCCTCATAAGAAACTCGACAAAGCGAGGAACAACGCCGGACTGTATCACTTCTTCAATTGGAGGACTCCGCTCTGTTAATTAAAAAAAAATCCAAGTTTCCTTCAATAAACATGGTTAACAATTAACAAAATAATATACAAATGTTTGAAAAATTACCAATTGAAAGCAATTTCCGGAACTGAGTTGTCGCTTCTAGCTGCGCTGGGCCGTCGGCAGACCAAACGCCGGCAACCATCGAAGGAAGACTCTCTAACTGGAATAACAAAACCCTCAATCAATAAAATTTCAAGGGGAAATAAAGGATAAATTGGAAGTTTTGCTTAAACGATTTTTAGATTACTTTTTTCTCGACGTTGGAAGACTGAAGAGAAGCGGACAATTGTTGAGCTTGGAGTCCCTCACGACGCTTCTTCTGAAGACTCTCTTCGCGCTTGCTTTTGCGGATCTCAACCATGTTGTCTTCCCTTCTACGGCGACCTTCCTCCGCGTCAACCGCCACCTTGTAGCGGTTACGGCGGACCTCCGTTCTAGTGCTCGGTCTCAACGACATATTCGGCGGCAGCTTTCTTCAAAAACGAAACCAGGGAAAGTACAATGACCAAGAAATTTGAGATTTTATTGAGATGGATCGAAAGAAGAAAACCCCCAAGGAAATTGGGGATTTTGAATTTTTATATTGGGTTATATATATATTTTTCATTTTAATATTTTTATTAATTTTTAGGTTTTATTTGGATGTGATGACATAATTATGTGTAAATATAATTAAGATAAATTATACAAATAATCCACCGACTACAAGATATTACTTAATAAAGTCATTCGATTAATAAAAGTTATAAAATAGTAATATGATTATAGAATGTTGATTTGTTAAATCATTCGACTATTGAAAGTTACAAAATGGTCACCTGACTGTTCATTATGTTCCAAACTCATCATTTTCCATTAAAATATTGACAGTTGTCTAAGTTGGACGGTAACATAATTAGTAGGATATGATAATTATTTGAGATTCTAGGATTAGATTTTATCATATCACAATCAACATGTTAATGTTCATCCAAGAATACTGTCAATTTTTAACAGAAAATGATGAGTTTGGGGACTAGTAGTTGAGTGATCATTTTGTAACTTTAATAGTTGAAGGACTCAACAAAGCAACACTCTATAGTCAGAGGATTATTTTGTAACTTTTAATAGATAAGAGACTAATAAAGTAGCATCCTATAGTCAGGGGACCATTTGTGTACTTTACCCATATAGTTATTATAAATTTTAATTATTTAATTATGTTAGTAAGTATAAGATATTTGTATTTTAATTTCTCATTTCATATTTTATTATATAAATTTAAATATTAATATTAATATAAAAATAATTGTAAAAATATACATTTTCTAATATCAACCTTAAGATTTTTGTTTATACAATAAATTTTATTAAAATTTTAAACATTGGTATGTACTTTTTATTATAAATTTTAATAATTAAAAACTAAAGCACTATAATAAATACCCAAAGTATTTCTTCCTTTTTACTATTAATTAAAAGTATGAACTGTCTTGTCACAGATGCTTTTTTGTTAGTAGCTGTCAATATTTTTATTATTAATAAAATATTTTATTGTTATCACTCAAAGGTGTCGTGGTGTAGTTGGTTATCACGTCAGTCTAACACACTGAAGGTCTCCGGTTCGAGTCCGGGCGACGCCATATTATATTTTTCTTTTTCGAATCGGGTGTTTGCATGCCAGGGTTGAAAACACACGGGCCTCTCATTTTTGGGTAAATTGTATGTTTAATGCATAAACTATTATTTTTATTCCGTTTTGGTACCTAAATTTTATTTTCTTTAAAATGTTTATATTACAAATAAGTACCTAAAGTATACTTTATTTTTCATTTAAGTACCTGAATTATTTTTTGGTCAAAATAAATATCTAAAGTTATATTTTTAGTAAAAATAGGTATCTGAAATATTTTATGTCAAATGTTCAATCTTTTTCATATAAGTTTTAAATTGACATGTCACATTAATTAAAAAATACATTAGGAACTTGGATGAAATTTTTTGAATATTTTAGGTACGTATTTTGACCAAAAAATACTTTAGGTACCTATTTTGACCAAAAAGATAATTTTGGGTACTTATTTGACCAAAAAATACTTTAGGTTCTCAAAATAAAAAAAGATGGTATACTTTAAATATTTATTTGTCACATAAACCTTTTTAAAAATTCATATCTAACATCTAATTTAGGTTTCAGTTTGTTATCCCGTCTTTAAAAATATATGTTTAAGTGCTTAAAGATTTTTTTTGGGATAAAATATACGTTTAACAATTCATTTAGTAAACCATTAAATGATATTCTAATGGTTAAAACAAGTGTTGATTTCTTTGAAGATCTCATATTTAAGTAGAAACAATCAAACTATGGGATGTATATCCATTGTCGATAATTATAAAAATTCTAAATATATACAATTTTATAATTGTATTCAAAAGAATATATTAAATGAACGCATAAAATGTGATGTTTAAAAATAATTAATATTTATTTTAAAAGTAAAATAAATTATTTTAATTAAAATATCTCTTCGACCCGGAAATCTTCAAGTCATTTGTAATATCTGAACCCAACCGGTTGAGATAAATTTCGAGAAGAATAAAATTAGGGTTAGAACATGTTTGAATTTAAGAATAAAATATTTTAATTAAATTGAATTTTAATATATTTATAAAATATTACCATATTATTAATTCAGAATTTTCTTACCTTTTGTTTCTCTCCTCTAATATATTTAAAGTTGAATTGAATTTTATATTTTGAGATATATTTTAAATAAAATCATAATTTTGTTTTTCTTCTTCTTTGTTATATTGTCTAAATCATATTTTTTGCAGTGTTTCTTACGTTTCTAATCCAAGTGTTAACAATAACAAATCTGATAAAATTACAGGGACCTCTGGCAGAATTAGACCCTCCTTTTTACAAAATGGAACTGTCTTGACTCCCAAGTAATCTTGTTTCTCTACAAAGAACATAACAAGATAAACAGAGTTTTCAAACCCTAAATACTGCATTAAAATGAACCTCTAAACAAGGACCACACATGTTTCCTTATAGACATGGCAATTGTTGTTATTGGTTTTGCTTTTTACTTAAATGTACTGAGAGAGCCAACGGAAGCCGTCGCCGTACCCCATCTTACGCACGATGCTGCACATGAAAACTTCGAGCGGACGCACGTTAGTGCCTTCCAGATTAACCTTCCCTTTCCCAGTTGTGAAGTTTGTCAACCCCATATGGAAACGTAATTCGTCCTCCGAAGCTGCGTATGGTAGGTCGATCTTGTTCCCTAGAATGAGGAACGGTACATCTGCCAGAGATTCATCCGAGAGGAGGGCGTCGAGCTCCCTTTTCGACTCCGCGAATCGCTCCTTGTCGTATGCGTCGACCAGGTAGACCACGACATCAACCTAGGTTACAATTGAGATTGCATATAGTTCTGATTAGCAACATACAAAACAACCAAATTGAAGAATCAATAATAGGCGTCTTTCAGGCTATTACATGTATATCTTTAGCTAATATGGAACTCGAATCGAATCATATCTCATATACATACGATCACACTTTTAGGAGGAGACTTCTAACAAGTATGGAGTTCCAATCCCCGGAATATCGAACCCCTGCCCCTATATCCAAACCAAGAATTCCTTTGTATTGTATAATCTTCGACCAGTTCCCATAAAGTAATCATCATAAATATGAACAAGTGCATCAACATTATCGGTAAAAAAGACCTATGTTACTAGGACAATCCATTTTCCCCTTAAGAACTCGCATTAAGGAACCTTAACATACGACACTAAATCATGAATCTGGGATGGTATAACAAACGACAGACCAGAGTAAGGAAGCATAAATAGTACCCTCCAGATGAAAGTCTGAAATCACACATGACACCGAACATCCTGAACGAATCGGTCCAAACCATCCCAAAATGATATCAATTACATAGGGAAAGTTACCAATTTTATCCATACATATGCAGATCAAAACATTCAAAACCAAATCCCTTTAAAGGATGACAAAATTGTCTATCCACAAAATTACAGCAAAAATATGGGCACGCAACCAAGCAAACACTCATCATTTGGATCCATGGCACCAAATATTAGGCAAAACTTTGCTGACTTTTGATTCTTTTCACCATCATCAACCATCCAGATGAATGCAAACACCTTGGCGTAATAGTTCTTCCAGACTCTTACGTGCATACATACACACACGTACATATAAGTACACAATACACATACAGATGAATGCAAATACCTTGGCGTAATAGTCCTTCCAGACTCTACGAGCAATTTGATGGCCGCCCAAATCAAAGGCCTTGAATTTGATCTTCCCTATGCTTAGTTCTTCCGATGTTGGGTACTGCGTTGGCTGATGCTGAACAAGTCTCTGCAATTTTCAAACTCCCAGAATTTCATTCACGACTCAATCAAATTCAATACACTAAGCTATCATTTACTCATTTTGCAGCTAATAAAGCACCAAACCAGAAAAAAAGGGTATTCATATCTGATAATTACGTTGAAAAAAGGAAGGAAAGAAAAGAGAATTTACCTCATCTTTGAGCATTTGAAGCAGAGTTGTCTTTCCGGCATTATCGAGCCCCAGAAACAAAATCTTTGCTTCCTTCTGATGCAAACCCAAAGATGCTAAAATCCCATAAAACCAATCTACAAGAAACATTTTCCCTTTTGTTTGTTGAAATTGAAGAATTGGAACAAAAATATAAGAAGGAAAGTTCTCTTCTTTTCTTCTGTAGGCTTCGGTTTGGTGGTTTTTGAAAATATTTTTCCGGAATTTTGATTTATATATAGCAATGAGCTGGCTAAGTGGGACTGGTTTGGCCGGTGACGGTGCTGACGTGTGCGGTGGAATGGAGATAGAAGTTACTGGAATCGCCGGTTACCTTAAAAAGTGCTGCCGCCGTGGAGGACGGTAATTGGTTGGTGCGCGTCATAAGTGGGCGGCGTGGCCGTTTGATTTTAGAATACAACGTCCATTTCCATTGGCGGTGTGATGATATTCTTTACGTGGCATGACTCATGAGTGAGGAAGGATCTGATACAACCGTGTGTATCAGATACAGAACATGTCTGTAAGAAGACGGTGGTGATATTCTTTACGTGGTATGACTTATGAGTGAGGAAGGATCTGATTCGGCTTTAGATTTTCATATTAAAAATAAAAGAAAAATAAGTATCTAAAACATATTATTTTTAATTTATTATAAAATAAATTCAAATAAATAAAATATTAAAACTAATATTATTTTTATAAATTTAAATTTATATACTTACACTCGGTTTAAGCTTTAAATTTATTTTTTAGGTTGAGTGAAAATTAATGAACAATAAAAATCCTTTGAACTTAAAATATTGGTTTTTATACCATTCGGTTTTAATTGTCATTTTCGAAAACCGACAAAGGATAATTCAATTTATATTTTAGTGAAAAATCGAACGAAACCGAATACACTCATACGCGTATATATAGACTATAATAATTGCTTTTCGAATATATGAAGAAACTAAAAGTTTAATGAATAAAACTTCGATATGAGAAAATAACATATATTAAAAGTTTGATATATTTATTCAATGAACTATATTTCATAAATTTCCCTTAAATGATCCATAAAATACTCCGAAAAGGTGTGCGAGGAAAGAAATAAAAAATATTTTAATGCAAAAAAGAGGATTTTTTCCAAATAGAACAAAAAATTTTATTAATTAATCTAATAGGACATATAGAAGTTTATTTTAAGATCTACGGTATTTATTATAATGTTCAAGGAACTCGTCACCTAAAGGTAATAAATTCTGTCAAATAATATATTTTTTATTCAAACTCATTATTTTGATGTGACGAATTTTAATAAAATATATATATTTTTTATTAATTTTTATCCTATCAAAGTAAAATTTTTGAATAAAATAACATTTTATTAAAATTCAACACGTCGAGATGATGAATTTTAAATCTTCTCTAAATAAATTATTTATGTGGTATTGAACTAAATAATTAATCTACATACAATATTGGACTAAAGTTGTTAAAAAAGGGTATTCGTAGAAATTTATGAAGCCCAAAACACGGCCCACTAAAATGATTTTAGCCCCATTTTCCAATAAAGCCCAAACCCCACCCATATATAAATATTCAGTTCCAGGGTATTATCGTCTTTCAAAGTCTCAAGCCAAGTAATTAGGGTTTCAAAATTTCCTCACATATAAATTCCAAAAAGAACCCTAGTAAGTGCCTCAGCAGCAGCATCTCAGCTTTCTCTTCCGTCAGATTTTGGTTTAGTGGATATGGCTAAGTCGAAGAACCACACAGCTCACAATCAGTCTTACAAGGCTCACAAGAATGGCATCAAGAAGCCCAAGAGGCACCGCCACACTTCTACCAAAGGGGTATCCATTATTGTGTCCTTTTCCTGATTGATTATTGAGAAGACTTGTGTTCTTGTTAATCTTATAAAATTTGTCTTTCTTTTGAATACTTATAGATGGATCCAAAGTTCTTGAGGAACCAGAGGTATGCGAGGAAGCACAACAAGAAGAATGGAGAGTCTGCCACCGAGGAAGAGTAAATTTTAATGGATTTAGTGTTTTCTAGTTACGGCTGTTTCACTTTCTTATATGGGATTTAGTGTTTACTGAGCTTTAGTAGCTGTATTACATTTTTATTTTGGTGGATTGTTGATTACATATTTGCTAGAAAAGATTTGAAGTTGTGAGCTTATTAAAATCAAGAACATGCTTTGAGCTTATTTACTATATCCTCTTTTCCCTAATCATGTTTAAGTAGTTAATATTTTTAGCATTAAAATTTTGGGAGTTTTAGCTATTGGTGATGCTTTTGACATGGATGATATTTGCTTGATTTCATGATTTTCATTTCTGAACCAGAAGGATTTGTGGTTTGCTGCTTTGATGTTGGGTATGGATGTTGCATTATAGTCCAAGTATATTTTTCTTTTGCTATGGATGATGCATTACACGTTCCAAATGGAAAATCTAGAAACTGTGTTACTCAGGCACTGTTGTTAGCGTGTTCTACACTCATATATTCGATTTTTCTAGGATATTTGGAGGGTTATATCTTGTATCAATGTTCCTCCTAAAAATACTTGATTATTGGCATTGGTACTAGTTTTTTTTTTTGTTTAATTGTTTGTCAAAGGCTGTGAATCATTACAGTTCTTTCTGATGATGGTTGTCGGTCCCGACTAGTTCCTTCCAAGGATTCTTATGGTTATATAGTTCATATTCAAAGTGGCCATAGTTCATTTTTTGTCACTATTAGTCAGAATGGTGAACCTTATTTTGCAAGTCCAGTATTAGAGTAGATTTTTGTTTTAGGGATCTGTTGTGGATTTCAATTGAGATGAGATTGGATTTGAGTCCCAGATGCATTTAGTACCATCCCTTGGTTGTATGATCCTATTGAGTTAAGTTTTCTGTCCCTTTTGTTGCGGCTAAATGTGGTGCATGAAGCTCTTAAAATTTTGGAAAAAAATCATTTAAGCTCCTAATTTTCAAGGGTATTGAACTTTAGACATTGTTTATTCCATTGAATCGTTAAATTGTTAATGACGTGATGATGTGACTAACAATTGTTGACGGATGTTGACATAGACACCTCACCAAAACGACATTGTTTTAACCTGGTTGTTAATGATTTAACGTTACGGTGGTATAATTGAAATGGAAATTAAAGTTTAGTGTTATAATTGACAAGATTGAAAGTTTAGTGGTATAAATGTTATAACGCTTAAAGTTTGGTGGTATCTAGGATAGTTTATCCCTTTCTAAGTAAAGTAAAGAAGTTTATGGACGATTCTTATAAGGAGATTGTCTACGTAAACTGCACTTTAATTCAAACAGGTACACATTTTTTCTGTAATGAATATATTTTTTGTCCATGCTTGTTTATTTATCTTGATAAGTAAAAAGTATTTATATTTATCTTGATAAAAAAAATTAGCTGACCCTATTCCCATATTGTCGTAACCGTCTTACGATTCGGCCCCGGAATGAGTCTTCGACTTAGATTAATAATTGGAGTCGCCACCGATCATTTTAAAACGATATTTAGGTAGATCGGACACCATCTTACTTGATCTGCGTTTCACCAGAAATGTGTCGGGTTCGGGAGTCGGTTACAGTTAAGGAAGGATTAGCACCCTTGAACTGTCCTTTCGGTACCAATTAAATTGTCGGTTGTCTTAATCGCGAAAATTACAATTTAAATCAAAATTTCAAAACCCGATTTGAATTGCTTATCTTTGATCGATTAGAATTACTACTGAAAAAAAGTCAAAAAAATATTTAATTCAAACATACCCAATTTCAACAACATGCATCAAAATTATTATTCAAATTCTTAATTAAGACCAAAAGAGAAATAATTATTGAATCATCAAATAATTTCCTTAAAATCTAATTTTGAATAAGGATAATTAATTAGAGTGTCTAGGTGTCAAAACTAAGGCCAATTAAAATTAATTAATAAATAATGCGAGTTTAGTAACAGTTATTATCTAAATTTACAAAGCAATTAATCAATTAACAAAACGTTCCAAAAATTCTGATCTAATTACTAATAATTTATTAATTAAACATGGAAATTTATCACGCTAATTACTATCCCATTAAAACAGTCAACACCCTAATTAACCAAATTATAACCAACCAACACAATACAATTTTAGGGCAATTAATAGTCACATTTTGCAGGCAATCAATCTAAGAAATATAACATCACCTAATCATGGAGTCAAGACAAAATTAATTTAATTAACATTAGTATATGTTTTAATTAAATCAATTAATGCCAAAGCCAAAACATGGAAATTAAGGCATGTTAAATGTGCAAAGGGAAAGTTGCCACCTGTGACACTGCTTGTGATAAAGATCGAAGATTGAATTGCCCCTTTTGCAAATTCAAATCCAATCACATCTCGAGTTAACACAATTCGAATTTCACCAGCAAAGATATTCTTTCGATGCGACTCCAAATCCGACATCACTTTGACGGCTTTGATCTTGCTTTGCTGATATTTGGCGTACTTTGTTGCAGTAGCACCACCACGTTGCGCCACCCTTCATCGCAACTTCCGTAGCTTGGCTCCGCATCATCAACCAAATCCGCCACGCCTCCGTCGTTGGCGTTTCGTTCCTCGCCGACATGAGCCAGGACTTGTTCTAAATTGGTGCGTAGAGAATTGGCTGTGGCTTCGTTCGTCTGCGCCAAGTCCCGCCATAGTTGGTTCTTTAAACACAGGCTTTTAACCCTTTCTTGAAGAACCCAGTTCAGTTTCCCCATTCTTTGAATCTCCTCTTCTTTCTCCTTCAGTTTCTTCACAATGCCGTCTTGGATCACCGTGAGCAACATTCTCGACTGTTTCTTCCTCTTTTCTTCGAGTTCTACCCTCACTTTTTCTATATGTTGGGCAATCAAATGGATGATTTCCTGATGCTGCTGTTGTTGGATCTGACAGAAAACACCATCATCGACAACAGAAGAAATACCCAAAGATTTATTCTTTCGAGGAACAGCGCACGAATCGAAGCAATTGACAAACGATGCATCTCTTGGCCTTTTCCTTGGAGCCGAGACCGGGATATTCACGTTATACGTAAGGCCACTGTCGACTTTATTGTTTGAAGTTTTGCAAAAGGTTTGATAAACATCAACCTCTTGCATTGTATCGACCAAAGGAACACAAGAAAAGTCTCCGTTGGGGATGAACTGGGGAAAAAAATTCATATTCGGAGCCTCGACTGCCATTTGAGCCTTTGCTTCTACCTTTCTCCTCCCCATTGCTCCCCCCACCAACCTTATTTAAAGCTAATTTCAAACACTCCAAATCCACGCCATTTGCTCCCTGATGCATGTGGTAGTGGAGTAGGTGAGTAGGTGTGTAGTTGAGATAATGGTGGGGTAGTGGAGCCTGAAAAAAAAATTAATAAAATTAATAATAATTAATAATAATAATAAATAATAATTATTATAATAACACATATATATATATATATATTTAAGCCTAGTCAAAAACGGGTGTCTACAGATGCCCCTCTTTGCACATTTTTGTGTTAACAAGAATAGGGCAAAGATGAAAAAGACAACAAGTTTTTGTCCGGTCCTCTCAAATGTGATTGGGCTTCCTGGAATTGGGCCTTTGTCTTCTTCTCGGTTGAAAGATTTTGGCTTGAAAATCCTTCCAGAAAGTAGTTCCTCGCTGTTATCGAGCTAAATGAAATTGAACTCTTCAGTTTTTTTGGTGGCAGATAGCCCTTCTTGATTTAAGCTATGCTGCAAATGATGTGCATTTGAGCTGAGTGTAATCAAACTCGATGGTCTTTTTTGTGTTTCAAGAAAAATTGTTTCAAAGGTTTTTTTTTTTGTGTTCAAGAGAAATTGTCTCAAGAGAAACAAAACTTAGTTCTAAAAGAAACTGTCTCAAGGGAGATGAAATTTGTTTAATTTAAAACATATTCAAAGGTTTTGTTTCAAGGGAAACTGTCTTAAGAGAGACAAAATTTGTTTCAAGAGTAATTGTCTCAAGAGAGACAAAATGTGTTACATGAGAAACTATCTCAAGAGAGACAGAACTTTGTTTTGAGCAAATTAGTCTCAAACGAGACGACCCCTTGTTTCGAGAGAAACAATCTCAAAGGCGATCGATAATTTGCTTGTTCCTGAAGATGAATGTTGTTGGTGGGTACGATTTTCTTCGTCGTAAAGTTGAAACCGTAGATGGCCCATTCGTCGTGAAGTTGAGCCTTGAATTGGATATCCTTCGTCGTGAAGTTGAAATCCAATCTAAAGATGAATGTTGCTAGTGAGCACGATTCCCTTCATCGTGAAGTTGAAACTGTGGATGGCCACTTCGTCGTGAAGTTGAACTTGTGTTGTCTCGAGTCCAATATCCTTCGCTGTGAAGTTGAAATTGGCTCCGAAATTGGGAAATTGTTTATTGACAACCAGCGGTCCATTCGTCGTGAAGTTGAACTTGCGTTGTCTTGAGTCCAATATCCTTCGTTGTGCAGTTAAAATTGGCTCTGAAATTGAGAAGTTGTTTGTTGACAACCAGCGGTCCCTTCGTCGTGAAGTTGAACTTGCGTTGTCTGGAGTCCAATATCCTTCGCTGTGAAGTTGAAATTGGCTCTGAAATTGGGAAGTTGTTTATTGACAACCAGCGGTCCCTTCGTCGTGAAGTTGAACTTGCGTTGTCATGAGTCCAATATCATTCGCTGTGAAGTTGAAATTGGCTCTGAAATTGGGAAATTATTTGTTGACAACCAGCGGTCCCTTCGTCATGAAGTTGAACTTGCATTGTCTGGAGTCCAATATCCTTCGCTGTGAAGTTAAAATTGGCTCTAAAATCGGGAAATTGTTTGTTGACAACCAGCGGTCCCTTCGTCGTGAAGTTGAACTTGCGTTGTCTGGAGTCCAATATCCTTCGCTGTGAAGTTGAAATTGGCTTTAAAATTGAGAAGTTGTTTGTTGACAACCAGCGGTCCCTTCGTCGTGAAGTTGAACTTGCGTTGTCTGGAGTCCAATATCCTTCGCTGTGAAGTTGAAATTGGCTCTGAAATTGGGAAGTTGTTTATTGACAACCAGCGGTCCCTTCGTCGTGAAGTTGAACTTGCGTTGTCATGAGTCCAATATCATTCGCTGTGAAGTTAAAATTGGCTCTGAAATTGGGAAATTGTTTGTTGACAACCAGCGGTCCCTTCGTCGTGAAGTTGAACTTGCATTGTCTGGAGTCCAATATCCTTCGCTGTGAAGTTGAAATTGGCTCTGAAATTGGGAAATTGTTTGTTGACAACCAGCGGTCCCTTCGTCGTGAAGTTGAACTTGCGTTGTCTGGAGTCCAATATCCTTCGTTGTGAAGTTGAAGTTGGCTTTGAAATTGAGAAGTTGTTTGTTGACAACCAGCGGTCCCTTCGTCGTGAAGTTGAACTCTACTCTCGAGCAAATTGTGAGTCCGAGAGAAACTTTCAATCTGTCGAGTTGGTCGAAGTGTAGCTTCTTGCTGCTGAGTTAAACAACCAACATGAATCTTTAAAGGTGCTTTTGAATCGAGTATCCTTTGTCTCGAAGTCAAAACTTGACCCTAAAAGCTACAAAAAATTATGTATGTGGAAAATGATGCTCTAAAATGTATGCATAAGATGCATGTAACATGAATTGGCTATATTTTATCTCTTGAAAAAGGTCTGATAATTTGCATTAGGATGTTGAATCCCCAAATGATGCCTCAATATCCAAAAATGCCCCAATATTTGATGTTGAATCTTCGAAGATGCCCCAAATGGTCCTCATTTCTTGCTTAAGCCTGAGTTTTGTGTCTAAGAGTCACATGTCATTTATCAAGATCCACTCTAGAGAGACTGTCTTGTTTGAAAAAAATGTTTTTCTTTCTCTTTTATTTTCAAAGTTATCAATTAAAAGAGTTTTGAAAGATGTTTGATCCAAAGTTTTTGAAAATGTTGTCACTTTCACGGTTTTACAATTGAGACGAATCATAAAACTAGAGTTCATCGGATATCAAAGAATTAATTACAATGTTAATCCTTCAATAAATTATAGTTATTTGACAAGTGCCAAGATCAAAGCTATCTTTGGGAAATGGTTAAGTAAGGAAAGGATAAAAAAGTTTCAGGTTATTGTGTTTGGTCAAAGGTTTGGCATTTGATGCTCAAAGGTTTGATGGGGTAGCATGCATGCTCCTCTACTAGAAGTGTTCTCCGACTCCCAACATTCATGGTCACACTCGGATTGTGCGATGCTTTATCAATGAATTTGTGTGATCGCCTCAGTTGCACAATTTTTATATTCAAGCCATATTTTCAGGTTTTCAACTCGAACCCTCCTTTGGTTTCAAGACGTTATTCAGAATTTACGTCTTGAACCCCCCTTTGCTATTTTTCTCTACCATACATTAATTACATTGTTTTTTGCAAATAAAGATTAATCCTGATGGGCGGGATGAAATCTGAAGATAGTCTCTTCTGTTTAGAAATCCATGTATGATTAGAAGAGACTTTTAAGGCACGTAATGTAGGCCAGGGCTTATGGTTATGAAAGAAAATGATAAATAGGCCCAAACAAGTGTTTTAGGGTATTGAACCAAGGATCAATTCATTCTGATGCCCTCGATCTTGTCTTGCTCAAAATGTCTATTTCTCTTGATGCTCTATGATCTTCGAGTGAAATGATTCAGTGATTCGGGAATAATTGTGCTTGATCAATCTCATAGTTTGAAGCTTGATGTGCCATTTGTCTTTAGGGAATCTTTGCATGTACTTTTTGTCCCTTTTTCTTTTTCTTTTTGTTTTTTTTGCTCTTTTCTTTTGTTTTTTTTGCTTCTTTTCTTTTTTCTTTTGTTTTTGTTATGATTGAAACTTCGCACTTGCTATTTGGTCCACCTTTTGATGTCTTCACTCATGTGAGCATATTTCTTCCACCTTGCCCCCCAGTGTGGAGGGTGATCCTTGGTTAGGGTTGAATCAGAAGAAAAATACTATAGGCTCAAAAGGGGACACAAGGGATATATTTTTTTCCTGTTGTGAAGGGATGAAGAAAGAAAGCCGTTCATCATTTCATACATGTAAGTCCTCACAGAAGAGGTATCCCCAGGGGGATAGATTTTCAGGATTAATTTTATTCACATGAAAACAGTGTAATTAATGTACGATAGAATTATTTCGAGTGAATTCTTCTTTCTGCTTCTTGCCCCCAACATGTCTCAATGCTTAAGCTCCCTGCGAGATGCCCAAGTTGTGTCTTAAAAGAATGCTCATGTTCAAATGAACAACTCAATGCCTTGGGTTTTGATGGCATAAAAATGTCAATTTTTAGTCTAAAAAGACAATGGTGTGACTTTATCGACTCAAAGAAAGGTATGGTATGAAAAAGTTTCAAAGGGTGGTAACGTCAAAATTTGGTCTTTTTGGTAATGACCATGAGTTATTTTGGGTAAAGAATCAATGTATTTTATTTTGGGGTTTAAGATGAGATAAGAAAGGTCTAATCTTGCCATATGTCAAAAATCTATAATTCTTGAAGAATTAAAAGAATCCTTAATTCATTTAATATTCGAAGAACTAAAGATTAAAATTTGTTCAATTGCTCCACCTTAGAAAGTAGTATGAATTCAATCGTTTAAAAGAATAAGCAAAAGATCAAAGACGTGTTCAAACAAAACAATCCTCTAGGTGCAAATGGTATATGCAATGCCCCATTCTTCGGCTGTCCATGCCCCTGAATCCATCAGTTTTTGGATCTCACGCTTCAGTGCCTTATAGTTCTCAGAGGAATGTTTGGAGCATCCTATGTGGCAACTGCAAACAGCTTCAACATCGTAGCCCTTAGGATAAGTGGACTCTTTTCTCATATCATCTTGGCAGGCTTAGTCGTACAACTAGCTGATCGGGCTCATTCATTGTGATTTTAGTTTTTTTTTATGTTACAATCTTGCTTCCATGTGGTGTCATGTGGTTAAAACCACTTCATCCAATTCTCCATGAAGAAATTCCATGTTTATGAAAATGCTTAAAAATGAAATGTATATGCAAAATGCAAAAATGCATGAAATGTTCGAGGCATTGATCCAAAAACATGTCTGTTATTATAAATAATCTTTATTGGGACAAAAGTGTTTTATCTTTTAAGAGACAATAAGCATATTTAAAGGGACATCCAGACTAAATCCTCTAGACCCGGAACAGGTTGACTAGTCATTTGCCTTCGTCTTTCATCGGTTGAATAACCTGTTGAACCGCTCCGGCCTCCCTGGATGAACCGTGAAAATG